CCATGTTTGTTCAAAATCACGCGCCCAGCGCCATTCCACCGCCACATCCCATAATAATGCGCAGCGCCGCCTTGGCAACCGACATAGCGTCACCAAGCGAGCGCAACTCCTCCCTCTCCCGCCCTTCGGGGCCGGCGCTTCCTTCCAGCCGTTTCCGGGTGCGTCATCGCATCCCGTTGGCTCGTGACCATGTCACGTGCCGCTGCACAGGCACACAGGGCTGGCAAGTGCGCAACGTGGGAGGAGAAGCAGGGGCAGGTGGAGCCTTAAGGAGGAGCCCGGGTGTGCGTGTGTTTGGTGCTGCGTGTGCAGCCTGCGTCTCCCACTGATCTGAAATGGTTGAGGAACAGCTGAGAGAGGCCTGTCGATAGTGATGCATTGGGTAAGCATTCCAGCCTCCTCTACTTGTAGCACCCTGCTGGGCACTGGATGTGTGCACCCTGCTATACTGCCCCATAGATAGAAACTGTTCAAGTCAAAACTTAAAACTAGAAGCACCTTAAAGACTAACAAAACATGTAGGTTGCATCGAGACTGGCATGATTTTGCGGAAATACTTTTAAAGGAAAAGTTTTTCCGTTAAAAGTATTTCAGCAAAAGCGCATCTAGATTGGCACGGATGCTTTTGCGCCAAAAGTGTTATTGTGCAAAAGCATCTGTGGCCAGTCTAGACGCGATTTTGCACAAGAAAGCCCCGATTGCCATTTTAGCTACTGGGGCTTTTTTGCGTAAAACAATTCTTCCCTGTCTGCACTGGCCCTCTTGAGCAAGTATTTTTGCGCAGGGCTTTTTCCTGAGCAGGAGCATGAAAGTATTTGCGCAAGAAGCACTGATTTTGTACATTACAAAGTCAGTGCTCTTACGCAAATTCAAGCAGCCAGTGTAGACAGCTAGCAAGTTTTTGCGCAAAAACGGACGCTTTTATGCAAAATCTTGCCAGTCTAGACGCACCCATAGAGGGTGGTATGAGCTTTCATGGGCAAAACCCACTTCTTCAGATTACTGGAGTATATCTGAAGAAGTGGGTTTTGTCACAGGAAGCTCATGATACCATCTACATGTTTTGTTAGTCTTTAAGATGCTACTAGACTATTTATTGTTTTTTAAGTTTTTCCTGTTACAGATTAACTCAGCTATCCCTCTGAAGCTGCTTGGCTGTGTCTACTAGATTGGCCAGTTTTTCCGGAAAATCAGCTGCTTTTCCGGAAAAACTTGCCAGCTGTCTACACTGGCCACATGAATTTCCGCAAAAGCACTGATCTCATGTAAGATTGTCAGTGTTTTTGTGGAAATACTATGCTGCTCCCTTTCGGGCAAAAGTCCTTTTGCGCAAATCTTTTGTGCAAAAGGGCTGGTGTAGACGGCTCAGATGTGTTTTCGGCAAAAAAGCCCCGATCGCGAAAATGGCGATCGGGGCTTTTTTGCGGAAAAGCGCGTCTGGATTTGCACAGATGCTTTTCCGCAAAAAGTGCTTTTGCGGAAAAGCGTCCGTGCCAATCTAGACGCTCTGTTCCGAAAATGCTTTTAACAGAAAACTTTTCCGTTAAAAGCATTTCTGGAAAATCATGCCAGTCTAGACGTAGCCCTTAAGTCAAGACACTGAAAAACAGGCAGGGAGTGGTTCCAGTCTTGTTACATCTATAAAATGGGCTAACAAGTGACAGCTTCCTAAGCACTGGGCAAACCTTTCATGAAAGGTGATATGGAAGTGCAACATATGGCATTGCTTTTACCTTGAGCATACACCCTCTTGCAAGGGAAATGTATTCATTCTGTTTAGCTTCTGTACCATAGGTATCCTCCACTTATTTGTAGGGTATGAACAAACCAAGGGAATTTTCCTCAACTCTTAATTATTGGTTTTCTCTCCATTAAAACATTTATCTGCAGTGTTTGCAACTCAAATGTCAGTGTACAAAAAAAAATTGATCTCAGTCTCTTTTCATGGTTCCAGCTGAAGCCCAATCCTGAAGATAGCTGCCTGACATTTAAGTAAATAGAACAGCCAGCTCTCTATTCCTTTTGAAATATGAGCTGAGTCCACCTCTCCACTTATGAAAAGCAGCACTCTTGTATGTAGGTGCATATTTGAAAATTTTAGTTTACATATCTGGACCTCAGTTATACACTGGGGCTACGTCTACACTGGCCCCTTTTCCGGAAGGGGCATGTTAATTTCAGCGATCCTAATAGGGAAATGCGCGGGGGATTTAAATAAAAATGTCCGCCGCTTTTTTCCGGCTTTTAGAAAAGCCGGAAAAGAGCGTCTACACTGGCCCCGATCCTCCGGAAAAAGCGCCCTTTTCC